CAGAACTAGAAAGACTAGAACAGAACTAGAACAGAACTAGAACAGAACTAGAACAGACTAGAACAGACTAGAAAGAACTAGAACAACTAGAACAGAACTAGAACAGAACTAGAACAGAACTAGAACAGAACTAGAACAGAACTAGAACAGAACTAGAACAAACTAGAACAGAACTAGAACAGAACTAGAACAGAACTAGAACAGAACTAGAACAGAACTAGAACAGAACTAGAACAGAACTAGACGAACTAGAACAGAACTATAACAAACTAGAACAGAACTAGAACAGAACTAGAACAGAACTAGAACAAACTAGAACAAACTAGAACAGAACTAGAACAGAACTAGAACAGAACTAGAACAGAACTAGAACAGAACTAGAACAGAACTAGAACAGAACTAGAACAGAACTAGAACAGAACTAGAACAGAACTAGAACAGAACTAGAACAGAACTAGAACAGAATAGAACAGAACTAGAACAGAACTAGAACAGAACTAGAACAGAACTAGAACAGAACTAGAACAGAACTAGAACAGAACTAGAACAGAACTAGAACAGAACTAGAACAGAACTAGAACAGAACTAGAACAGAACTAGAACAGAACTAGAACAGAACTAGAACAAACTAGAACAGAACTAGAACAGAACTAGAACAGAACTAGAACAGAACTAGAACAGAAATAGAAACGAAACTAGAAGAGGAACTAGTACAGAACTAGTACAGAACTAGAAACAGAACTAGAACAGAACTAGAACGGAACTAGAACAGCACATAGAACAGAACTAGAACAGAACTAGAACAGAACTAGAACAGAACTAGAACAGAACTAGAACAGCACTAGAACAGCACTAGAACAGAACTAGAACAGAACTAGAACAGAACTAGAACAGAACTAGAACAGAACTAGAACAGAACTAGAACAGAACTAGAACAGAACTAGAACAGAACTAGAACAGAACTAGAACAGAACTAGAACAGAAACTAGACAGAATGAAGAATACGTTCGAAGACAGACACACTTAGCTATGTTCGGACACGCATTAACAGGACAAACAAAACGTATCATCTTAGAATTGTATAAAGACCCTTATATTTAAGCTTGTGAGGTTTGAGGGGAAACTTTTGGATGTTTTCCAAAAGGAATGATAAATCAATATGCACTTCATCTTTTTTTTATTGGATGTATGTAACATAAGGAGTCCTGTGTGGTTAGCAATCTCATCTATAAATAATAAATATAATTTATAATAATAATATTATAAAAAACCCAACACTTTACGCAAATAATAACCTAGTAAATAAAATTAATTAAACCAAAAACCAAACGATAATAAAAACCAAACTTGTTTTTTAGTTAATATATTTCATTAATAGCAATTAATTTATTATTCTTGGAAAATGGTTATAAAGTTTTTTGTTCAATGTAAAACTATGTATGTGTTAGTGTTGAGCATACAGTGAGTGACAAATAAAGTTCTGAAATTCATATGAAATAGTACTTACCTGTAGAAAAAGGTTAGGGAGGAATTCTTCGCCAAGTGATAGTTTGAAAACAGGGCTACAAGACAGACAACCTTTGGCACGCCAGATGTATGGACAAACCGAATAAAAGTGAAATTTATAGTTAAGACGTATATATCTTATTACTGTTTGGTATTAGAATATCTCATTCTTCAAAACCATGGAAATATTGAACAAAATATAAAAAAATAGTGGAAGACATAACTGGCAGTTTTAGCTTTGTTAGACTAATATTTGGAACCTTTTAACTGGAGAACTGTTTGATGAATTTCGTAGAAGGTTATATCTAAAGAAAGGTTAAGAATTCAGCTTTACATCAATGGTATTTTTGTGCAAAAAAGTATATGGGAGTTGTCTTAAATAGCATAAATAAGCTTACGCCCATTTTTTAAAACAACTAGTGGGCGTGTCCAAACATAAAACTCTTGCTGTGTTAGTTTTGTCTCTTACTGTATGTGGGAAAATGATACTTCATTTCGATCTGAGTTTCTTTTTTCATTTTAATGATAAATTATAGGATTTTGTATAAATATGAAATATTATTTTTTAAATATTTATTTGTTTATATTTATAAATATAATTTGTTTTTCTTTTTTGTTTGTGGTGTATTTTTAGTTAATATTGCATATGTATGAAGTTGTTGTTTTGTGGTTCAATATATATATTTTTTTTAAATATATTTTACATAAATAATATTTATGTTTTTTCTCGCTTTCTATAGGAAATAATAAAAAAATAAAAAACTAACTATTTTTGTGATTGGTTTTTATTTATATTTATAAATTTTTATTTGTATTTTTTTTCTCGTTTTTTTTAATATATATAGTTTTTTTATAATTTGTTGTTATAGTTAGAGGTTTGTTTTATAATATTAAATTTAAATTTTATTTGTTTTTGTTTTAAATAAATATAAAAAAATAATATAAAAAAAAATAATTTCAAATAACAAAAAAATACATAAAATAAACAATAATTTTACTTAAAATACTTGATTATTTTTATTAAAAAATAAAATGACTGAGAATCCCCAAAGGAAATTTGTAGTTCAGAATAAAAATTTAAAAAATCTTAATTTGTTTTTTTTAAAAAAATATTAAACTATGGCAAGATTAGGCTGCAAATAACAAAAAAATTTTCTTTGTAAATTAGTTTCAAAAAATTTTATTAGTATATTTATTAATCATGCTAAATTTCCTTTAGGGATTTTTTTTATATTAAATTATTATTAATATTATTTCTATAATATATTTTCACCTTGTTCTATTAATTTTCATATTTATTTATTAAAGTTTTTTTTTCATTAATGTATTGTATACACCTTGTTTCGTATTAAATTTTAATTATTTATTATATTTGTTTATATACAATGTAATATAAATTTTTCAAACTTAAACTAAAATCACTGGAATTTTTTTTGTGTGTGTCTTTTTATTAAAAAAAAATTAAACTTCCAAACAATTTTACAAAACATTTTCTTTAAAACTGTTCAATTTGTTTCCTTTAACCTTAGCTAAAGAGAAATGTTTTAATTTGTTTCTTCAAAATTTTAATATTTTGTTACTATAAATTATTTACAAAAACCTTTAAGATATATTATAAAAATTTTAATTGGTTTTCGACTTAAAAATTAAATATTAATCAATTGCTTAACATTTCCCAGACAGTTTCATTTTTTGAAATCAAGGTCGTTTATGCAGAATCAATTCAATAGAAATGAAGTAACACAGAATTTGAACAGAATTAGAAAAGAACTAGAACAGAACTAGAACAACTAGAATAGAACTAGAACAGAACTAGAACAGAACTAGAACAGAACTAGAACAGAACTAGAACAGAACAGATCAGAACTAGAACAGAACTAGAACGGAACTAGAACTAGAACAGAACTAGAACAGAACTAGAACAGAACTAGAACAGAACTAGAACAGAACTAGAACAGAACTAGAACAGAACTAGAACAGAACTAGAACAGAACTAGAACAGAACTAGAACAGAACTAGAACAGAACTAGAACAGAACTAGAACAGAACTAGAACAGAACTAGAACAGAACTAGAACAGAACTAGAACAGAACTAGAACAGAACTAGAACAGAACTAGAACAGAACTAGAACAGAACTAGAACAGAACTAGAACAGAACTAGAACAGAACTAGAATAGAAACTAGAACAGAACTAGAACAGAACTAGAACAGAACTAGAACAGAACTAGAACAGAACTAGAACAGAACTAGAACAGAACTAGAACAGACTAGAACAGAACTAGAACAGAACTAGAACAGAACTAGAACAGAACTAGAACAGAACTAGAACAGAACTAGAACAGAACTAGAACAGAACTAGAACAGAACTAGAACAGAACTAGAACAGAACTAGAACAGAACTGAACAGAACTAGAACAGAACTAGAACAGAACTAGAACAGAACTAGAACAGAACTAGAACAGAACTAGAACAGAACTAGAACAGAACTAGAACAGAACTAGAACAGAACTAGAACAGAACTAGAACAGAACTAGAACAGAACTAGAACAGAACTAGAAACAGAACTAGAACAGAACTAGAACAAACTAGAACAGAACTAGAACAGAACTAGAACTAGAACAGAACTAGAACAGAACTAGAATAGAACTAGAACAGAACTAGAACAGAACTAGAACAGAACTAGAACAGAACTAGAACAGAACTAGAACAGAACTAGAACAGAACTAGAACAGAACTAGAACAGAACTAGAACAGAACTAGAACAGAACTAGAACAGAACTAGAACTAGAACAGAACTAGAACTAGAACTAGAACTAGAACAGAACTAGAACAGAACTAGAACAGAACAGAACAGAACTAGAACAGAACTAGAACAGAACTAGAACAGAACTAGAACAGAACTAGAACAGAACTAGAACAGAACTAGAACAGAACTAGAACAGAACTAGAACAGAACTAGAACAGAACTAGAACAGAACTAGAACAGAACTAGAACAGAACTAGAACAGAACTAGAACTGAACTAGAACAGAACTAGAACTGAACTAGAACTGAACTAGAAACTGAACTAGAACTGAACTAGAACTGAACTAGAACTGAACTAGAACTGAACTAGAACTGAACTAGAACTGAACTAGAACTGAACTAGAACTAGAACTGAACTAGAACTGAACTAGAACTGAACTAGAACTGAACTAGAATGAACTAGAAACTGAACTAGAACTAACTAGAAACTGAACTAGAACTGAACTAGAACTGAACTAGAACTGAAACTAGAATGAACTAGAAGACTGAACTGAACTCGAACTGAACTAGAACTGACCTAGAAACTGACACTAGAACCTGAACTAGAACTGAACTAGACTGAAGTAGAACTGAACTAGAACTGAACTAGAACTGAACTAGAACTGAACTAGAACTGAACTAGAACGAACTAGAACTGAACTAGAACTGAACTAGAACTGAACTAGAACTGAACTAGAACTGACTAAACTGAACTAGAACTGAACAAGAACTGAACTAGAACTGTACTAGGACTTTAAACTGTCATGAATGTTTTTTTGAATTGTCTTTGACTAAACGAATTTTTGATTTTTAACTAAATGTTTTAGTCATGCGCACAATTAAATATCTGCACCGAAATGAATTTTACTTTTAAGCTGCCCTACACGACCCTTAATCTAATGCAAAAAAGCTGTCATTTCTATAGTCTCAAATGTACCCATTTTACCATCCCATATCAAATCGCCCCGAGAACCGCCTCCTCCTCCTTTCAGACCATTGTGTTCTCGACACTTTTTCAACGAGTATCAGTGATATTGATGTCTCAAGCTGCCTGTATGATTATTGTTGTTATTAATATTTAAGGTGTTATTTTTGTGTAGTGTTGCTGCCATACTATTGTTGTTATTGTTGAGAGAATTGCCATTGAGGGAACTTAAAGTGGAACGCCGACCCGTGGTATTACAGCTGCCATTACGTAAAGGTAGGGCAGGCGGTGGTGGTGTGGGAGGTGTGGGGCTGGCGGAAGGACTAGCATGGTGATCGGCAGGATTGATGCTATGATCGATGGGCAGCGAATAGTGGGAATTGTTGTGCAAGTAATCACCATCCAAAGTTTGGGAATATAATTTGGGATATTTTAGGGCAGAGGAATTATTGTGATTGAAATGGTCCTGTGTTAGACGTATATGACGATCGGTTGTGTTAAATTTTGGGGTGGTATTGATATAGGAACCAACACCATTGGGCACTATGGGCTGGCTGTAGATATGATTATTGGTTAGAGAACTTTCTTGCTGCTGCTGTTGTTGTTGCTGTTTACTGCAGCTATTGCTGTGACGTGGTAGAGATGTTATATTGGGATTTTTTGTATTAGACAGTTTACGCATATCCTGCTGAGAGTGATAATTACTGGGTGTTCTGGTATTATTGGTCATATATTTGATTTGATTAAGTTGGTTGACAAAGGTGGTGGTATTCGTAGCAGGGTTATCAGGTAGAGGAACGCAGCCATTATACAGTGAAGCGCCATTGGGCACTTGTAATTGTTGCAAAGTATTATTGGCTGATCCCCGACCTCTGTGTTGAGGTGGGGGTGGTGCTTCTAGCTATAGCTCTGTTACTGGTATGGGACGGGTGCCCATGTAGGGCATAGCATGTTGTCCATAACCACTAGTGGTGGTGGCATAAGGTGCTGTGGAATTCATGGCACAGGGTATTTGGGGTTGCCGAGTCATATAGTCTTCATCCGAGAAGGTTTTTTGATATTCACGTTCTTTGCGTCCTAAAGCTGAATTGCCCCATCCGCCCTTTAGTAGCTCGCGGATTCTACGTCGACAAGCATAAATGCTTAAGGCTAAAATGGTTATAGCTGCAGCAGTGGCCACTAAGAGAACTCCAATCAAGGCCTGTTGCTTAGGATCGCTGTGTGAACAACCCAACATGGCGGGTGTTACAGATTGTAAAGTTTGCGCCTTTAGATTGGGTGGTGAGGCGCAGGTCACTCCTTTTATTTGCACATTGCTGCCATTGCGTGTCATTATCAATGATCTCAACCACAACAAACGACAGTCACACATCAAGGGATTATCCGAAAGATCTAATGTCTCCAAATCGGACCAGGGAAAGAGACCCTCGTCTAAAGTAAATATTTGATTTTCTTTTAGGATCACATGTTTCAGATGTGGCAAACCCAAAAAGGCATTTTCTTGTATATCACTTAACAACTTATTGGCCGACAGATTGATGTATTCCAAATTGGCATTATTGCTAAAGGCGGAATTTTCCAATTTCCTTAAACGTTGGGCTCCCGTGATCTCCAATTTCTTTAGATTTTTCAAGCCCATTAAAGCATTGGTGGGTATAACCTCAAAATCATTTTGTCCCAAAGACAAATCCTCCAATCTTTCTAAATGCGATAAAGCCAGTTGAGGTATAAACTGCAAACGGTTGTCGGATAAATCCATATATCTAACACCCTCTAAACCTTTCATGGCTTCTAGAGATATATTATGGAGTCCGGCTCCTTTCAAATCCAAACGTGTTAAACCCTTCAAATCCACAAAAGCTTTATTGGGTATAGACATAAAGGAATTAGTGCCCAAGTATAGTTCCGCCAAGGAAGGCATGGCTCGGAAATTTTCTGGTGCTGGTACAGTGGTCAAGGTATTGTCATCTAGATATAGTACCCTCAAATTCTTTAAACCATCAAAGGCATGTTCTCCTATACGACTAATGCGATTTTGTCCCAAATTCAATTCCTCCACCTTTTGCAGGGGGGCAAAGGTTAAATCTTCCAGTTCAGCCAACAGATTGCCTCGTAGATTCAATACTGTTACCGCTGATAAACCCGATAAGGTCTTATTATTGATCTGACCTATCTTATTGTGATTCAAATGCAATTCCTGTAATTTACGTTGAAAGGCAAAAGTTCTCTGGGGTATGGTGACCAGATCATTGTAGGATAAATCCAAGAAAGTTAATTCAGCATAGAATTGTATGCTTGAATCTATGGTCTTGATTTTATTATTCTTAATAATCAAACGTTGTATGGAGGGATTCAAAGCAATGGGTAAAACATCCAAAGTACCTTCACCACATTTAACTACCAAAGTGTCATCATCACATTGACAGCCATTGGGACAATTGGCTAAGGCATTAGCCAAGGGCACCTTAGAGCAAAGACATGCGATTACCGCCAATAAAGCCACTAACCAGGTTAAAGTTGCTGCTGATGTTGTTGTTGTTGTTGGTTTTAGGAGGCTGGTATGTGGTTTTTGCTTAAGAGCGGACATGTTAGTCATTTTCAGATTACTGCGGGTTTTGTGACATGTGTTTAATTGTGGTTTACTGCAGTCGCTACGACCAGACGTCAAACGTTGCTGACACTCTAAATCTATGGGCATTATAATGCTGCTTGTGGTCGTTTGTTGCTGTTCTTCTTCCTTGTCTTGTGTGGCTTCCGTTAGTTTGTTTATTGGTTTCGTTTTTATTTCCGTTTTCTTTTCGTTGTAAGTCTCATTGTTTTCTTTTTTTCTGGGATTTATTTGTTTTCTTGTTGGTTTGTGTTTAATTCGTTTGTAAGTTTTCTTCTTCGTTACTTTGGCTCGATTTTGTTTTTTGTGTTTGCTAGTATTTGGTTTCCAATAGTTTTTGTTTTATTTCTTGGTAAATTTACTATAGTTTTTGTATATAGCTGCTGGTATTTGTTGCCGCTGCTGCTGTTGTTGTTGATTTCTAGCATTTGTTGCCAATAGTTTTGCAATGCAGCACTCGTCATTAGAATTCGTTTTTAATAAACTGCAATGAAAAGAAGAAGGAATTTTATGATTAAAAAAAATTTATAACGAAAGTTTAAGGAATTAAGAAAATAACAAAGAAAAATTTTTTTCTCCAGAAAATTATTTTCTTTGGAAAATTTGATCATGAAGCAAGTTTAAGTCCTAGTTCAGTTCTAGTTCAGTCTAGTTCGTTCTAGTTCAGTTCTAGTTCAGTTCTAGTTCAGTTCTAGTTCATTCTAGTTCAGTTCTAGTTCAGTTCTAGTTCAGTTCTAGTTCAGTTCTAGTTCAGTTCTAGTTCAGTTCTAGTTTAGTTCAGTTCTAGTTCAGTTCTAGTTCAGTTTAGTTCAGTTCTAGTTCAGTTCTAGTTCAGTTCTAGTTCAGTTCTAGTTCAGTTCTAGTTCAGTTCTAGTTCAGTTCTAGTTCAGTTCTAGTTCAGTTCTAGTTCAGTTCTAGTTCAGTTCTAGTTCAGTTCTAGTTCTTCTAGTTCAGTTCTAGTTCAGTTCTAGTTCAGTTCTAGTTCAGTTCTAGTTCAGTTCTAGTTCAGTTCTAGTTCAGTTCTAGTTCAGTTCTAGTTCAGTTCTAGTTCAGTTCTAGTTCAGTTCTAGTTCAGTTCTAGTTCAGTTCTACACAGAGAGAAAAGGAAATATACACGCCTGGTACCAAATTGACACCAAAAAGTATATAATTTTTCAATAACATCCATTGTCAAAGTATATACATACGTACGACAACACTATGTAATCTTGACAACGCAACGTTGTCAACATTGCAACAATTCGTTGTCGAAATCTAAATTTTATATACATCCGTTGTCTAAATGTTAACAACGTGGTAAGCTCACTATTGGCAACGGATTGTTTGTCAATAGTGAGCTAACCACGTTTGTTAACATTTAGACAACGGATTGTATAAAATTTAGATTATGACAACGAATTTTGCAATGTTGTCAACATTACATAGTGTTGTCGTACGTATTTATATACTTTGAGAACGGATGGTATTGAAAAATTATAAACAGTTTGGTGTTAATTTGGTACCAGGCGTATATATGATTCTTTGTTCAGTTCTAGTTCAGTTAGTTCAGTTCTGTAGTTCATGGTTCATTCTAGTTCAGTTCTAGTTCAGTTCTAGTTCAGTTCTAGTTCAGTTCTAGTTCAGTTCTAGTTCAGTTCTAGTTCAGTTCTAGTTCAGTTCTAGTTCAGTTCTAGTTCAGTTCTAGTTCAGTTCTAGTTCAGTTCTAGTTCAGTTCTAGTTCAGTTCTAGTTCAGTTTCTAGTTCAGTTCTAGTTCAGTTCTAGTTCAGTTCTAGTTCAGTTCTAGTTCAGTTCTATTCTAGTTCAGTTCTAGTTCAGTTCTAGTTCAGTTCTAGTTCAGTTCTAGTTCAGTTCTAGTTCAGTTCTAGTTCTAGTTCAGTTCTAGTTCAGTTCTAGTTCAGTTCTAGTTCAGTTCTAGTTCAGTTCTAGTTCAGTTCTAGTTCAGTTCTAGTTCAGTTCTAGTTCAGTTCTAGTTCAGTTCTAGTTCAGTTCTAGTTCAGTTCTAGTTCAGTTCTAGTTCAGTTCTAGTTCAGTTCTAGTTCAGTTCTAGTTCAGTTCTAGTTCAGTTCTAGTTCAGTTCTAGTTCAGTTCTAGTTCAGTTCTAGTTCAGTTCTAGTTCAGTTCTAGTTCAGTTCTAGTTCAGTTCTAGTTCAGTTCTAGTTCAGTTCTAGTTCAGTTCTAGTTCAGTTCTAGTTCAGTTCTAGGTTCTAGTTCAGTTCTAGTTCAGTTCTAGTTCAGTTCTAGTTCAGTTCCAGTTTTGTTCTTGTCCTTTCGGGAAAAGTGAAAAACTTGCTATCTTCGTTAAGAAAATATATATTTAAAAGAAATTTAGTTTAAATTTAAAACATAATTTAACAACTTTTCCTATCTCCTTTTTTAACTTCTCTTGTATTTTTTTCCTTTCACTTAATAAAAGAAATTATAAAAACAGTTCCTCGATAACCTAAAAAACCAGCAACTAGCAAAGAAAAAGGAAAAGTTTTTTCCAAAACTACAAAACTAGTAAATAACTATAGCATGTTTTTCTACGCTAAACTTTTTCTTTAACACAATATGTTCACTTGTTATCTATTGTTTTTAAATGTTTTGTCCCAACAACACCCTCTCTACCACTAATCTGTAACGCCTTTATACTTTAAAACAAAAACGAAAAATCAACTCACTTTAAAGACCTACAAAATGAAAAACTTAATTCTGTGTAAAAATAAAAACCTTATAAAATAAAGAAGCCAAAATTCTTAAGTCTTCTTACTATAAACAGCATGTCTAACATTTGCTAGTGTTAGCGAATGTTTTTTTTTTTTTTTTTTTTGAGAGTGCGCTAAACTTGTGACACAAAAACAAACCAAAGAATGTATATAGTTTATTTGTTAACTTAAGTTATTATCATAGGTTTGGCGCCAAGGTTTACTGAGGCAACCTACATGAAAAAGACCTTATGAAAGAAATCTAGTGGTTTTCATGTTTTGCTACTAACAACAACCGAAATGTTTATGTATATTGGTTTTGGCCATAAAGTCCCCTTCCCTTTCCCTAGACAATGTTTAAGTTCGTGCTTAAGAAAAGAAAAAAACCAACGACTAAAAAGGACATAAATTTTAGTCTTAAACAGTAAAATTGCTTCCTTTTGTATAACACCAAGTAGACATGTAACTCATACTACCACCACCACTATTTCGCAATAGTCCATTTGTTAAAGTCGTGTGTGGCAGCTTAAACATACATATGTAAGAATACACTCATAGAAAAGATTAATAGGATTTGAGGAAATAGTGTCCTTAATAAATTAAGCAATAATATTAAGGTCAGGGATTGTGTTTTGAGGAAACCGTTCTACAGAAAAGTAGTTTAGAATTTAAGCAACTTTTGTATACAGTTGTTAACTATTGAATCAACTTTGTTTTTCTCAAATGAACAGTTGTTCATAATTGAGGCATCTTTTCTATAGAAAAGTTATGACAATTGATGCGAATTTCTTATAGAAACATGTTTGACAATTGAAGCAACTCTGATATTGATAGATTGTTCACAATTGAAGCATCTTTGCTATGAAGAAGTTGTTCACAATTGAGGCCACTTTTTGATAGAAAATTTGTTCTCAATTGAAGTCACTTTTTGATAGAAAAGTTGTTCATAATTGAAGCCACTTTTATATAGAGAAGTTGTTCACAATTGAAGCAACTTTCCTATAGAAAGAATGTTTATAACGGAAACAACTTTTTTATAGAAAAATGGTTCATAATTAAAGCAACTTCTCTATTGAAAAGTTTTTTACATTTAATGCAACTTTTCTGTAGAAAAGTTGTTCACAATTGCTGCACCTTTTCTAAAGGAGAATTGTTCACAATTGAAGCAATTCTCTTGTAGAAAAGTGATTCATAATTGAAGCAACTTTTATAAAGAAGGGTGTTAATAATTAAAGCAACTTTTCTAAAGAAAAATTATTCACAATTGAAGCAACTCTTTTATAGAAAAATTGTTCACAATTGAAGCAACTCTCTTATAGAAAAGCTGTTCACATTTGAAGCATCACTTCTATGGAAAGTTGTTCACAATTGAAGCAATACTCTTACAGAAAAGATGTTCAGAATTGAAGCAACTCCCCTATAGAAAAGAGATTCACAATTGAAGCACCTTTTATAAAAAAGTTTGTTAATAATTGAATCAACTTTTCTAAAGAAAATGATTCACAATTGAAGCAACTCTCTTATAGAAAAGTTGTTCACAATTGAAGCAACTATCTTATTAGAAATGTTGTTCAGAATTAAAACAATTTTCCCACAGAAAACATGTTCACAATTGAAGCAACTCTCTTATAGAAAAGTTGTTCACAATTGAAGCAACTCCCTATAGAAAAGCAATTCACAATTGAAGCAACTTTTATAAAAAAGGTTGTTAATAATTAAAGCAACTTTACTAAAGAAAAATTATTCACAATTGAAGCAACTCTCCTATAGAAAAGTTGTTCACAATTGAAGCAACTCTCTTATAGAAAAGTTGCTCACAATTGAAGCAACTATCTTATTAGAAATATTCTTAACAATTGAAGCAACTCTCTTATAGAGAAGTTGTTCACAATTGAAACAATTTTCTCATAGAAGCTCTGTTCACAATTGAAGCAACTCTCCTATAGAAAAGTTGTTCACAATTGAAGCAACTCTTTTACGGAAAAGTTGTTCACAATTGAAGCAATTCTCCTATAGAAAAGTTATTCATAATTGAAGCAACTTTTATAAAAAAGGTTGTTAATAATTAAAGCAACTTTTCTAAAGAAAAATTATTCACAATTGAAGCAACATTGTTGTTTATAATTTGAGCAACTTTAGTATTAATCTTTTTGCTTCGAGCGTATTAGTGTTTGTTTTGTTGTTGTGTCAAAGTTCAATATAATAAGATTTATACAATTTAAGTTAACTTCTTCTAGAAATTCTTTCTCCTTTTTATGTTTTTGAGAAAAAGTCGTTAGTTTTAAGTTTCTTTTTATGACCTTGAGTTTATTTCTTAGTTTTTACTTCCTTTTAAGGCCAAGCAACAAACATTCACAAATAGTAAAAGTTTTCATGTGTAAATTTTCCTTTGAAAACTTTTCGGGGAAACTTAAAACGAAATGGTAACCTTAAAAAGCAGTAAATTTTAAAAGAATAATGATAAAAATGGCGTCAACAGTTAAATTTTTTAAACCAACAATCTGCGATAAAAAGTAAAAGCGATGTGAGTTAATATATACATGAATAATATTGACTTTATGGTGGAAGAATTATGATAGGAAAAGTGCTGATAGTTTGATTTTAAATAAGTTTTAAACAAATGCCTCCACTTTGTAATAATTGTCACCTGTCATGTTTTTTTTTCTGAATACACTTCCCTTTCACCATAATATTTGGCTCAAAGTCTCTATAATTTTCCAAAAAAAAAAAAAAAAAACAAATCACCATTTTAATATCAAAAACCCCCACTGCTATAAACGATTTTCTCTTAACCAAAGA